GGACAACACTCCATGCACCAGGACAACGGTCCGTGCACCAGGACAACAGTTCCACTGACATCACAACAACAGCTGCTCTAGCTTTGCTTGCAGATGTATGCAGAGCCCCAGAACCTTCTCTACAGCTAATGCCAAAAAGATGCTGGAAAATTCTCCTCTATCACTGGAAGCCTGTCCCGCTGCTCTGGAATGCCCTGTACATGGAAAGCCCAAGACTGTGGGTTTAGAAGAGCCAAAAAGCGCAGCCTCACAGATCTGCCCCAAGATCCCACGCTACCTGTGAGATGACTTGCAGACATTTCATCCCCATGAAAATCAGATGCAATTGGCCTCTATCAAAATCTAGAGCTAAAAGCAGGACCCAACTTGAAATAGAAAAGAAAGGAATGTCCATGGAAGGAAAGAAAGGGCACAAAAGTCCTCTGGAAATGAGTTCTACCCTTCCATGGAATAAGGATTTGAGGCTTAGCTTGTTTTCCTGGTGATTTAGTGGAGACATCAAGGGACTGTCCTCTCGTGGTGGACAACACAGTGTCCTTTAGAAGCTTTATCCTGGGCTCGTAGTGCTTAGTAAGGCAAACAGGTTTGATGCAATGATCGCTGGTGTCTGATTCAAAGGCACACCCTGATACAATTGATTTCCAGCTTCCCAGGAAACACTGTGTGGTAACAAATCTGCCTTTCAGCTCTCCAACTCCTTACACTGGGGTGTAGCACAGCTGCGGAGGAGGTCTCTTTGTTGAGCTCCTGTAGCTCTGCAGGTTCTGTGCTGTAAATATACAGAACGCAGGGACTTGGAAAAGAAGTTGAGAGTGCCCAAGGCTTGGAGGAAATCTTGGGCTCCACCTTACAGGTGAGGGTGTTATTTGAAAACTGATGCACTTGCTGAAAGCCCCAGGTTTACATTGAAATTCTGTGGATGAAAAATTGCTTAACTTATCCCGTATTAATTGTCCCTTCTTATCAGTGTGCTGCTGCAGTGCTCTGACAGCTCAAAGAAGCCTTTTGGTCCTATGTCACACCCCTGGAAGCTTCCCTGTGCACATTTGTGAGCCACAGAGGTCAGGTTGTAATGGGCAAAAAGAAAGAGAGACAGAAAGAAAAGCAAGTTCAAAGAGAAGGTGGGAGAACTTAGAAGGTGGGAGGAGGAGGAAACCAATGGGCCAAAATGGGCAATCCCATCATAAAAGGGAGTTATGAGGCAGAGACCATATAGATCAGGTGGTGGACAGGCCACAGGAAGGCAGGCTTAGGAAAACAAAAAGAACATAAGTGTTCCAAGGTTTGGAAGCATCACTCCACCCTCGTCCTCCTCTCACTTTTAAACGAGAGGAGGCGACACGCAAACCATACTCATGTTATCAGTTCACACACTTTAACCTGGCACTGCCAAGCCCACCATATCCCAAGTGCCTCATCTCCATGTCTTTCAAATCCCTCCAGGGAAGGTGACCCTACCACTGCCCTGTCCAGCCGGTTCTTGAAACTCAATCAAAATAAATTAAAAAGGAAAAAATTTACTCGCAGGGAGTGTGCCGCTTTCTACTCTTGCAGCAGACTGCAGAATCATCCTCACCACAGACAAGTGTACCCACTCAGGACTTCCAGTTGGAATGGAAAAGCCCCAGAACTCTCAAACTTCAAAGCCCAGAGTTCTGCTGCTCCCAATCCTTCCTTCTCTGAGAATCCAAAATGATGATTTCATGATGGCTGAGCCCGATGGCCTCCAACCATCACAGCAGCCACCAGTCCTTCTGTGTTCACAAACAACAGGTCCAGTGGGTGCCTTCCCTCGTTCTGCCTTTGTGCTTTGACAAGTTCCCACGTATCTGGTGGCTCCAGTCTTTCTTGGAGCACTGCCTGGGGTGGCTTCATTCCCTTCCCCATGTGAAACAGACCGTAACTTGCTCAGACTGTTCCTCCATCTTTTGGGGAAGAATAAAAGTTGGAAGAATATGTTTCCATGAGTGAAGTGCCTGATGGAAAAAGAAGGGGAAAAAGATTAAGAAGTTCAAATGCTCCAGAAATGAAGAAGAGAGAAAAAGCTGAAGTAAAGAGAAAAAAGGAAGTAGCAGAAACTGGATCGGAGAGGATTGGATTTAGAGACAATAAGGTCCAAACCTTGTGATCTTATGTGCAAATCGCAGCACAGGAACATTGCAAAACCAGGGCCCAGACTTTGGTCCCCACAGACCTTAAGCCATTTCTGGAATGAGGTGTGATATTGGAAACGTATTGAGATGGAAATAGGTACTGTTTTTCTTCACAAAACTGTCCTAAATCTGTGCAGAGAGATCAAACCGTGTGTCTCTGTGATCAGATGTAAGCTCCACAACCAAACCCACAAAAGAACCTGTCC